ATGGGCATTATGCTTCCCTTTTCTAGGCAGTGGGAACTTCACCAGACTGCCACAACTTCTCAAATATAAATGAAAGCAGCAGGTCCCATGGATGTGTGCATCCTCAGGTTCCTTAGACAGCCTCAGACCTGATCTACCCTTACCATGGGTGGTTCTTCATTCTCCCAGTCCCTGCTTTTGCCTTCTGTGACTTGAGTGTGGCTCGAGCACTTGCCAGTGAAGACCAAGGCAAAAAAGTCATTGAGTACTTCAGTCTTCTCCATATCCTACATGACCAGGTCTCCTGTTTCCCTCCAGAGAGGGCCCACATTTTCCCTAGTCTTCCTTTTATCATTAACATAGCTATAGAAGCTTTTCTGCCTGCCCTTGACATCCCTGGCCAGATTGAATTCTGTCAGGCCTTTAGCTTTCCCAACCTAACCCCTGGCTGCTTGGACAATTTCTTTGTATTCCTCCCAGAATACCCGTCCTTGCCTCTACCCTCTCTAGGCTTTCTTTTAGTGTTTGAGCTTGTCCAAGAGCTCCTTGTTCATCCATGCACGCCTCCTGGTGTATTTGCCTGACTCCCTCTTTGTTGGGATGCAGCGCTCCTGAGTTTGGAGGAGATGATCCTTGAATATTAGCCAGTTTCCTTGGGCTCCTTTGCCCGCCAGGGCTTTATCCCATGGTACTCTACCAAGGAGGTCCCTGAAGAAGCCAAAGTCTGCTCTCCTGAAATCCAGAGTCGTGAGCTTGCTATGCACCCTCGTCACTGACCTAAGGATCTTGAACTCCACCATCTCAGGGTCACTGCAGCCAAAGCTTCCCTTGAGCTTCACATTCCCGACCAGCCCCTCCTTGTTGGTGAGAACAAGGTCCAGCACAGCACTTCTGTTTGTTGACTATTCTGTTACTTGGAGGAGAACAATACTCCCTCCTCATCTCCCTTGCCTGTCCTTCCTAAAGAGCCTGTATCCTTCCATTTCATCACTCCAGTTGTAGGAGTCATCCCACCAGGTCTCTGTGATGCCACTAAGGCCGTAAGCCAGCAGACACATACGTGTTTGTAACTCCTCTTGTTTGCTCCCCTTACTACCTGCATCTGCATAGGGACATTTCAGTTGGACCCCCGAAGAAGCCTTCTTATGGGTTGGAATGGCTGGAGTTCCCTTGAGGTATTTCTCTGGTCCTTCCCTGTTGGCTCCCACTACCTCAGGAGCCCCTGGCTCATCTGACACTCTCGCTGGCTATGGCCATTAGCTCTGCCCAGCATGGTCCCTCCCTTGTGCCACCAAGTATCTATGTGATGAATAGGATGAGGAAGACAAACTTTGTTACAAAAATGACCTTACCCTCACTCCCCATGGGGAGCTTGACCTGACTCTCTTGTGTTGCTGTCATTGGAAAAAGGCAATTGGATCCACTGTTCTGTGAAACACAAAGCGATACCAGCCTAGGAGCCCAGGAGAGCCTCAGTATGTGCCCGTAGTGTGAGGAAAGCCCCAAAAGCATGGCTTCAAGCTTCTCAGACATGTGTACTTCCTTCTCGTGAACCTGCTCCGTGGGGCTCACTTTCAGGTCATTGAGGATCTGTAGGCTGTGCAAGTAAAGAGTCACCACAGGAGGTGATTTTGGCAAGGTGACCAATGGCTCAGTTTCCAGCTGCAGATAGGTCTGGTGTTTCATGTATCAGCTGTCTGCTGGCAGCAGCTTTGGATTATATTGTCTTTCAAAGCTGCACACTCTCACTGTGATATCACCTGCCCCTGTCTTTCCTTTTAATCTGGCCCATAAGCTCTCAGTCAGCTCCTCATCCATTCCCAGGTGGAGCTCCATGCACTTCAGCTGGTCATTGATGCAGGGGGTGACACCTCATCTTCTTCTCCCATGCCTGTCCTTCCTAAAGAGCTTGTATCCACTCATTCCCACGCTCCAGCCGTAGGAGTCATCCCACCATGTCTCAGTGATGCCTCTAAGGTTGTAGCCCTGCAGGCATGCACAGGTCTCTTAACTCCTCCTGCTTGCTCCCCATGCTACAGGCATTTGCATGGAGACATCTAAGTTTGGCCCCCACTGAAGCTGTCTTACTGGCTGGGGTTATATTCTCCTGCATTTTAGGTGGTCTCCTAGTGGCTTTTTTTTCTTCTTTCGGGTGGCACTGGCCTCAAAGTGAGGAAAACTTTCTCCTACTGAGGAAAAACAGGCTTTCCCTCCTGTGACACCTCAATGCATTCAGCACCACCACTTTGGTGCAGCTGAAGTCAACAAATTGGTGTGGATGCAGCAGGAGGATGTGTTTACCTCCTGAGCTGACTGATATAAGTAACATTTTAGTTAGAGGCCAAGAAGAAATCACGTGTCCCACTAGAAGTGATCACAGGGCCTCTGCCTGCATGTATATTCAGAAAGATTGTGGGAGAGAATTTAACCCTTCCAGCCAACCCAGAGTTGGTGGGATGATAACAAGACATGCCTTTTCCTCTCAGAGCAGGTTTCTCATTTGTTTTCATGGGCATATGCCACTGACTTGGCACAGTGACTGACAACTTATCCCCACCTCCCAGGGGTGACTCTGCCTTCCTTGAGAAAGGGAGACATGACAGAATGCAGCAAGGTGCCATAGTCTGAATTTACAGGTTTACAGCTTGTGCTTATTTACTTGTCTGCTCTTGACTCCCACTGTACATGCCAGATAATTCGGGGCTTTTTTGTGACAGAAAAGGATCTCATGATCTCTTTACCAGTTCATGTGAAGGCAGGGTCACCAGGCTGGGCAGAAATAATTTAATATTATTGCTTCCTATATTATACTTGCTCTTAGTGGACTTCAATTTTTCAAGTCATCAGGCGTGAGTCTTTCAGCAGCACTAAAAGTTTACACACTTAAGTGGCTTTTTTTTTTTTTTTTTTTTTTTTTTTCTCCCTCCATGGGAATATTTTTATTTATCTATTCCGTGAATATTATCCCAGGGCCATGATTTTTCTTTTTCCTGTTCACCAGGGATTTTTGGGAAGGACTACTGTCCTTGGTTAGATTAAGCATGTTTTATTTTTTTATGTGTTTTTTAGGAACAGAAAAGAACAAAGATTCACCCCTTGCCTACAAAATCTGTGACTGTGGAGTCTGGGAATTTGGTAGCATTTTGCACAACTCAGTTCAGTTTAATCTCTTCAGACCTCTCTCATTGGCTAAGACACCTCTACATACCTGAAGCCACTGTAGGCTAGATACAATGTAAATATTAAATCAGAAGTTGGAGGAGTGCAATGAACTGCCTCAAGAGGCTACTGAGCTCTTTCTCCTCTCAGCCCAAATGCTGAATAGCTTTTAAAGATATCTGACTTTACGAAATGAAACCCTGCACTTGAAGGAAGCTGGTGAGAAACAGAAAAACTGATAGGGAATAGCTTTATCAGTAGCTTCAGGGATAGACAACAACAAGGTGTTTAACACCACATGGCAGTGCTGCACAGTGCTGGAAGACCACAGGCAAAAAGTAACACTGTCTTGTTCAACCTGCTGGAGGGTGAATTACAGTGAGCCAAGACAAACTCAGACCCTTGTTTTTCTTAAAGCTTTCAGTTTCAGAATTGAAATGGTGCTTCTTGAGAGGTGGCTGGGGATTGCACCCTGGATTTGAGTTTTAAACCCTTAATATTTTTGCTGAGCACATGACAGACCATGTACCTATCAATTCTGTGTCACTGCCTTCACCCCGGCTCTGCAAGTACCGCCTTCCGTTGCTGCTCCTTTCTGCTCAGGCTGTTGTGGGCTGTTGCTGTTTGGTGTTTTCAGTGTCTAACTTCAAAACCAGAAATTTTTGAAGGTGGATTAATTTTTTTTTTTTTTTTTAAATAATTAAAAAAACAAACAAACAGTGGGATAATGCTAGCAGAGCCACCTTTCTCTAGGCAGCACTGCTGCCTGGAGGGGCAGCACAACATAAGCATCAGGAATTTCATTGTTGACGCCACCTACCGGCATCTCCTGAGAGAAATTTTCCAGAGAAAGGGATGGCAACACAGGTCTCCACTGAATGTTTCTTCGGGGACTTGTGCCACTGTAGTGTTACTAATTATTATTGAACTTGCACGTGAGAGCTCCTACTCGATCCTCGCCCCTCTGGGTAAGAAACGAGACCATCAGGACGCTTAAGAAGGTCCCTTTGCTGCACTTGTTAACTTTTGTACTTGCTTCACAGGCAGCAAGCACTTTTGCCTTACAGCAGAATGGTAGGTGTCTCCTTATGTGGGGGGAGGCAGACCTCCTTCCCAAACTTTAGCAGTAGGAATAATGGGCACCTGACCTCTCCCCAGCAATAACAAGGTGGGGACACACTGTAGCTGCATGCTGAATAGTTTCTGTTTCCAGGGGCCAGCCTAGCAGTTTGAGCAATGTTTTATCTGAGCCCTACTGACTGACTGTTCCTGCTTCTTTTTTCTCTTCCAGAGAGACGGTACTCCAGATCCCGTCCTAAGACCAGCGTACTGAATTACCCATCTCATGTGGTGATGACCCGGCAGGCCAGCGAGGTGGCCTTGACCCCACTGACAGAGCAGGAGGGTGAGGCTTACCTGGAGAAATGTGGTAGCATCCGTCGCCACACTGTTGCCAATGCTCACTCAGATATTCAGCTCCTGGCAATGGCCTCCATGATGCACACAGGAATGGTGGTTGAAGAATCAGAGACTACGGACAAATGTCTCCTTCTGCAGCCCAGTTTTAGCCACAGGCAGTGTTCCAGTGAGCCCAGTATTGCTGATGAGCCAGATGTAGTCATACCAGCAGGAAGGCAGGACCCTGCAGACTTGAACTGCACACCAGCCAGCTAGAAGTCTTGCTGAGGGGAGGAGAACTGTATGCACTAAGCTGGACAATTTATTGTGTCATCCCTGCTGGGAAAAAAGGAAAAAACAAAAAAGTAGAATTTTGCTTATGTCATTGAAATGGCTTTGAAGAATCTTACGTTGCTTTGGAAACACTCTCCTGATCTGTTTTTCTTGCCTGTCTAGGATCATTGTCGATGGAGGTACCAGACTGCCCCTGGATGAACACTGAGGGCTGCAAAGTTTTTGTTGTTGAACAGCACAGTCTGTGTTCTGTAACCTTTCAAACTCTACTAAGAAGTAGAGGAAGGAAATCCTTTATCCTCAGGTTTCCCTGTTTCTTTGGTATGATACAAATTAGCCTCTCTCTGCTTTTTTGCATATTTCCAAACTCTGTGCAGCTTGTTCTTTGTTCCTGCAGCAGAGAGTTCTGTGCTAAATGTTGCTTTGCTTCTTACATTAGTGTGGTGATGGGTGAGGACTGCATTTTTCTCTTTTAACGTTGAACTCAGGAATTAAACCGTTTGCATCCTGCAGAAAGACCTGCTTAGGTGGCTTGTAAGAGGACTTTGCCTCCCATAGCCATGGATTAAAAGTCCAAATCCAAACAAATCAGACTTTTTTTTTTCTTCAGACCTGAAGAAAACTGAGTATACATGGAGTCCCTGCCAAATGCTTTGCATGTACTTTATTTGATTCCATTCATATCTTTGGGGTGGTGGTGTAAATTGGGTGCAAAGGAGAGGTGAGTGTGTAAATTGGGAGAAAAATATAGTCCTGAGCATTCTGGCATTTGGCAAAAATTTGCTTTCAAAATTTAAGTGGTGGAGTGGCTACAATGAAAGGAGAAATCTAAATGGATTCCTTTGGGAAGGAGACACTGGACAGAGTCTGCATGTGTTTGGGAGACATAATGGTGCTTCTTAGCACTGGGCCATCATGATTGCAGACCAGGAGGTGATACACAGGATTTTGTATTTGGGCTGCTCTGGTACTTTTAGCACTTGCGGATTTCATGAGACCAAAGATCACCAGTGAGATGTAGAAAGGAGTCCTATCTCATTAGTATTTTCATGAAGTGCCCCTGACCTCCAGTGACTCAGTGTAGTGTTGCTTTTAAAGTGAAGCAAGGACTCTTTACAGTCTTTGTTTTTGTTTTTGCAGGTTAGGAATGGGTCCAGTTTGCAAGTGTTTGTCATGCATTACAGTCTGCAGTGTTTGCTTTGTAGCATCACTTGGTAGTCAAATGCTGCTTCCATGGGAACAGAGCCAATCTCTTTGAGCAGTGCCCTGGGATATGCTGCTGATGTCTTGCTAAACAGATTTGTAAGTGTAATTATAGCCTTGCAGGTGAACTGAAATACTGCTTTGAATGTCAAATCCCATAAAAAATACGGATATAACACCACTGCCACTTGAAACTAGTCCCTGTGGTACTGACTGTAAATAAACCTGTCTTAGCAAGGAAGCAGAAGGTTAGGAGGAGTCTTCAGTATGTTGTGGGTTTTTTTGCATTCTATGACATTAACTGCAGAATTTGCCCTTCTGTGGGCATTAACCATTTTCTGCTCCACTGGCTGCACCAAAAGTACATCTTCTACTTGTCAGGATTTGGTCTTAGCAGCGTGTGCAGCAAAAAGAAAGCAAATTATTATTTGGTAAGGAAACATCAGAAATACCAGCAATGAGCACAAGTCACACTGCCTTTGTAAATGAGGGTGTTCCTTTGCTTCCTGTGGTTTGCAAGTGTTGGAAGAGATACTTGAAAGGGCCTACTTTTTGCAGTCACCTGGGGAGCCCTAGCTATTAGCCTTTGTTGAAATGGCAATTGTTTTGATCACCAGCTGTGCTTACAGGTTGAAGAGAGACATCTAGTTGTGCTTTTTGCTTCCCTTTGTAGCATGAACAGTCCAGTGCAGGCCAAGGAGATGTGGCTTTAAACAGCTTCCCTTCAGATGGATTCTTGGATAAATTATCCTCCTGTTTATAAATTTGAATGACCAGACCAATTTATTTGTTGTCATCTGCTTTAGGGTGGCCATGGATTGTGGTGGAGCTTCAGAATCTCAGTGGTGACAGCAAAACCTAGTAGACCATGGGATTCTCACCTTTCTCACCTTGGCGTTGTTCCTCCAGCATGGGGCAGATGATGGCATCCTGCTCAAAAGAAATTTCTTTGGCCCCTTGAAGTGATTTAAAGCTTTCCTCTAGACACAATGGAGCATGTGAGGAAGTGATCACACTGCAGCATTTCAGTTTGCTCTTATTAATGCTCTTCTTCTTTCTATTTCTCCTCTAACCCATTTATCTTCTGCAAATACCCAAACCATTTGGATTAGTGAGCAGTACCCACCATTTTATGGTAAAAATGAGAATGATTTATTTATTTCATGACATATTCTTGGATCATCTCTAGGGCTACCAGGAATACAGTCCCGGTTTCAACTTGGATTTAATTTGTTTTACATGTATGCATAATTTGAATTATTTTGATTTTGTGTCTGTTAACAATTTGCAAACATTTGCACGAAGCCACTTTGAATCATGCAATTGTTTTGATTTTTAGGGAGAATTAAAGCTGGTGTCTTGACTTTGTAAACTGAAGTAAACAAAACTTGTTCTGTAAACCACACCAAGGGTCTGGAGATACCTAGCACTTTAACAGACATATAAGATGCACGAGCCTCTGCAAACCCACAACTTTTACAGGCAGACCAGGTGAACCTGGAAGTGGTCAGGAAATTGCACCCTTTGGCTGTTGTGACAGCAGTGTGAGGCTGGCACCAAAGGGCCCTGAGGGTATACCTGAGGGACAGCACTGAGTGGCTGCTCTCTGCAGAGGATGTTTTGAGCATGCAGATGCTCAGTCCCTTGGAAGCAAAGAGCAAACACTCTGTCCCCAGGCCAGAGCTGTGGCATGAGAAACACTTGCATTTTGGATACAGGGTCCTGGTCTAGGTTTATACTTCTTCACTGCTCACCATGTCACACAGCTGTGATAGGGACTCAGGGGAAAGGCTTTTTTACCCTCATGGTCATTCACTAGAGAAAACCTCCTGGAAGACCTGCTAGAATGGGAAGATGGGATTTCTCTTACCATGTCCCAGAGTCTGTCTGTTACCTTCTAACTGGATAATCACACAAGTTACTTCCCATCACACCAAATATGTCTTTTTACCCTGTCTTCTTTCCTTAAAGTAAGTGATATTTTTTTCTCCATCTCCATACAATTCTGTCATAAACTTATTGAGGGTGACTCAGCAGACAGCTGTTCTTAATACAACTGGCCTTTTTCCTGACATCCCCTATAAGCTAGCAGCATGGTTTTATTGCCAGCAAGCAGAGCTTCTTCAGTCCAGAGCTGAGTGGGCACTAACCAGACTTTTTTTATTATTATTTTTCTATCTGAAGAAATACAGTAGATCTTGGTGCTGGCACTGGTGGCAGCAGGGGGAGGGCTGAAAGATTTGGATTGATGCTGAGGGTACTATCTTTTGTTTTTGGATCCAAACAGCAATGGGTTCCCCTGGAAAGAATAGTCTTTTGATACTTAGAACCCTTAGTTGACAGACTGAAAATGCTTGACTCTTACAGGCAGCCTGTGTGTTCCAGAGAACATAAACTGAGTGTCTAGTGAGGGAAAAATTGTGGTGTTTATGGTTTAGTTACTTATATGAACTTCTTAATTCTGCTGTAGACCCAGAATAGCCAGTTTACCTAAGTGGTTTGATACCCTGTTCCTTCCCAACCCTGTATGAGCAGCAGGTCTCCTGGACCAGACACATGTATTATTTGTGTGCTATTTCCAACAAGAGAAAGTAGAGCTGGGTAGTATAGAAACTCAGACAAAGGTGGTGACACTGACTTGCACTGAGTTGCCAGAGCCAGAATTGCAAGTTCTATGCTAAGAGCAAAATATACTGCCTGTGCAGAGAGCTGCAGGCAGGGCCCTGTCATGTGAAGAGTTAAAGTTTTTACTCATATGGTTAAGTTTTACATAGTCCTGCAAGGAGCAGGGAGATGGAATCCATGATACCTATGGGTCCCTTACAATTTGAGATATTCTGTGGTTCTATGATTCTATTACACTCATACTCTCTATGGGTCTTATACTTAGGAAAGGCTGTAGAAAAGTGATTTTTAAGTACTAGTGCTATACAAATGGAAGTGAGCTGCTCTTTTCATTCACAACTGAAATTAAGGGGCAGATAAAGATCTGTTCAGCTGTGAAAGTTGCAGCTGGCAGAAGTTGAGTGTGTTTTATCGAATGATTTTAGTGCAGCAGGCACCTGTCTGTGCCAGGAGGCCAGGGCCCCTTCTCACCAAGCCAGAGTTAGACCCTTTCCACAGCCCTGCTGATCTCCTGTGCGGTTTGGTCACTGGTGTTTCTTCAATGGGCTGTGGAGAAGGCTAGGAGAGAACATCTTTGTGCCCACTGAGGTAAACCAGCCACTCCTGCAGGAAATGTGTGCATTGTATCAAGCCAAACCCAAAACAGGTGGGGGGGCCCACACTTCCTGGCTTCCCTGTTCTCCACATGAGACGGTTCTCTGCACAGTCAGCATTGCTTCCTGCACAGACCAGCATGGTGACAGAGCTCAGAAAAACAAGTGAGAAAGCAAGACTTACCCTGGTGTGGACACCCCACGGTGCTAGGGGTTTTCCCAGAGGATGTGAGCTGGAAATACAGCCTGCAGTCAGCTTATTTCTCATCCACAAACACTCCTGCTCCATAGGAAAGTCACCACAAGTTTTCCTTTGATTCAGAGGGGAAGAGGGTGGCTAGTATTTGGTATCTCTCTGAATGAAGAGGAGATAACTGATCATCCTATTAAGTTTTCAAACGCAGCAGGCAGATCTGGCAACATGACAACAGCTTAAATGGGATTTTGTTACTTGTCCTCCTATTTGGAGAATGCTTGCTGTGCCTCTTGGTGAAAAAGCAGCTTAGCAGCAAAAGAGCAGCATATTCTCATTTATACAGAGCTCAAAAAATGCATGCAATA